TTGAATGACCAGTGTTGAGTATATGCTCAATAATGGCGCTCCTTATTGCTCCGTTGTTACCTTTCCGTAGCCAGGCGGGATAGTGTTCTTGAACTCTTTTAGATAAAACACGCATCGAACGACCTATATACCTCGCTCCGCAAGAGCAGGTGAATTGGCAGATACACATGGGAGTGGTCAAATGCGATAGTTTATCTTTAGAGTAGTTGAAGAACAATGGCCGGGAGGAAAATGTCAGTCGAAGTGTGGCAGCGAAGAATGTCCTTCTGAGAGCAGTATATATCCTCTTCTTCAAGGTGTCAGCCAGAAGGTCACCTTTGAAGGGTACATTCATGTAGACCATCTTCTTCTGCACTGTAATGGGTTGTTCTTTGTACGTCTTGGGCTTAATGTGCTTGTCTATAAAACGGGGTGGGTAGCCATTCTCGAGCAGTGTCTTCCTTAAGAGGGCGATCTCTTCCTCTATTGATTCTGGACTACAGATTTTTCGGATTCTAGTCGCCAGAGATATTATCAAATTTCGCTTGCGACTTATTGGTACACAACTGTAGAAGTTTGTCAACTGACCGTTCCATGTAGGTTTTCTGTGTACTGATCTGTTCAATGTACCATCGGTCTTCTTACTTAGACGAACGTCCAGAAAGGAGATTGTCTCTTTGGTTTCTACTTCGATTGTGAATTTGATGGCAGGGTGGCAACTATTGAAAACTTGAAGAACAATATTTTGATCACAATTGTGATCGCAGATGACGAAAGTATCATCGACATACTTTTTGTATAAGAAGAATTTATCGATGGTTGCTTTCAGAGGACCGTTTTCCAAACTTGCCATGAAAATATCAGTCGGCACCGGACCCAAAGGTGATCCCATCGCCACTCCATCGTGTTGTCTATAGAAGTTCCCATTGAATGTGAACTGGACATTTAGGGTACATCTGAGTAGGAGTTCTTTTAGCTTGATGGCAGGTATTCCAATATCCAGGTTGTTTTCTTCCAAGCAATTGCTTAGAAAACAAATCGTCTCAGTGATGGGCACGTTTGTAAAGAGAGACTCGAAGTCGAGTGAAATCATATGTTTGTCTCCCACTTTAACATCTTTGATGCAATCGATGAATTCAAAGGTATCCCGAAGAGAATGTTTTGAAATTCGTTCTCTGACAGGCTGTAGGAATTCTGCTAGCCATTTCGCTATTGGATGATGTGGAGATCCCGACATGTCCAAAATAGGGCGCAGTGGGAGACCCTGTTAATGAGTTTTTGGCAATCCGTATAGTCGGGGTATTATTGAACCTGTGGGTCGAATGCTCTCGAAGATATTTTCAGAGATAACTTGATCAGTTTTTCGCTTTCTCAAGATCTCAGTTAGCTGTTTTTCCGTTGCTTCGGTTTTGTCTTTCTCTTTTTCGAATACTGAGAACTTATTGTTGTCTGAGAGAATCGCCATCATTTTATTGATATAATCTTTTCTATCAATTAGGACTATGCCTGTACCTTTGTCAGGACGTGTGATAAGCAATTCTTAGTTCTGCCTCAGTTGGTTGAGTTGTTCTCTATGTTCTTTGGTCAAAAGATTGTTGAACTTGGACTTTGTATTGAGATACTGTTGACAAGAGTCTAGAATAGTGGACTTAAAATTTTTGAATTCTTCTTCGGAAGCTGGGACAAGATCAGTAGTCTGATTGATCAAATTGTCAAACTCGACATAAGTATTGAGCTTGCTTATGTTGGAGTTGATGTCGCAAAATCTTGGCCCGAGAGACAAGGCCTCCAGTTGTATGGGAGATAACATTACTGAAGAATAATTGAACACAAATTTGGTAGGATCTTCTGGAAACTTGCGTCTTGTTTCTGTAGCTTTGAGACTTTTCAATAAGTTAGAATGGATGGATTGTGTACGCTTTTCCGTAACCACAGTGACATAGTCGGTCAATGCTTGTCGTTCATCACGAGACAATTCGTGTAACGCAGAGGATCGTTGCGCTATGTTCCTCTCGAGTTCTGGCACACGTGATTTAATGGAATCGATATGGTTCAGAGTATGACGCTTGAGGGATTTAGAGTTCGGATAAATGTGATTGCGACGTAGAGCTTTCCAATACCACTTGGGATATTCATGATTATTCATACAGTTTCTGAGAAAATTAATCTTCGCATTAACATCAGCAAGCTTGACAGAATATCGCAGAAACCCATTAAGTTCCTTCACTGTCAGAGGGTCCTTGCTTATTTTTAATTCACAGGTTTTGTTCTCACGTGGTTAGTCAGATGCATCGATATTTGCTTCTTGTACATTGATAAATGCATCTGGACATAAACAGACAGATATTTCTTTAGCGATTCATTCGGATACATTCGACTAAATGACCTGTAGTCGAGTGTAATGGGAGTGAAATTTATCGTAGTGTAGAGCGGTGCATTTCAATGAGCGCTGATATGCAGTATGATTTCATCAGTATTTGTTGATGTGACGTCCTCGTGAATGCAGGTTCAGCAATTGTGTCTTTGTATATTGATTTCAGAGGACAGCGACAAAGGCGAAAATGGAGGTGAGTGTCTGGTATTTTGTTGATCCACGGCATTCACCACAGCCTTGTTGAGATGTCATTTTCACCATGCTCAGGTATCTCTCATTCACTCACCCACTGAAAATATCTAACGTTGATGATTTCATCGATTGATTCATTTCATCTATATGCAGCGAAGTTGTTTGTGTTTCCTGTGAGTGAGTGATTGACTGGTCCAGTATATTCTAAATGTGCATGAAGTTGCATCCGAAATTCCGCCTTCCGAATACACGCGATCCACGACACACGCATACACACCTCTACACACTGCATTTCACATTACTCAACCAACTCGATTTCATCTTATCACAAAGGCAATCGCCACTGAACTCTGTCTCCACAACAAGATTTCATCACAACTGTTTTCTCTGCATCAACCTATTAGCCAGGTGGGAAGCAAATGTGATGATCGGTTTACATCGCCTTGTAGGTATTTGTGTGAGAGTTGAAATCAGGCTTACTCGGCATTGCTCTCCTCATCTTCATACACTCGTGCTTATCAATGATCGTGTGTTGCATGTGAGTCAGTAGTGATCCTGTGGAAGACAAGCGAAATCAGTCGACGAATAACTCCGTGGAGAGAGAGAAAGCTGTATGGATGTATCAATGGAAAGATTGTCGTAAAACTGATAGATGCATAGATAGACTGAGAGATCCATATTTAGGTATGTAGGCGGATTGTTTGATAGATTGTTAGATACATGGATAAATTGGCAGACAGTTAGATACATAGGTAGTTATGCAGATATTTTGGTGGATATCTGGTGAAGTAGCTAGCTAGCTATCTAGATTGATAGATCGAGTTTTCGACACAAAGGTAGGTAGATAGTATGATATGTGTATATATAGATAGATAGTTAGATAGTTAGATGGATGGATGGTGTTAAGATTCATACGTGCATAAATACGTGGTTACTTGCATATATCGAGAGATATTTTTATAGTTGAATAGATATATAGCTAAATGTATTGGAAGATAAACAGACAGATAAATTGATAGCAATTCAAGCGGATTCCTTCGTTTGGGTGAAGTGAAGTCGAGAGTAACGGGAGTGAGATTAATCGTAGTGTAGAGGAGTGCATTTCTATGAACGGTGATATGCAGTATGATTTCATTTGTATTTTCTGAAAGAACTTCCTCGCGAATCCAAAGTTATCCAATATATCTTCTTTTGATTTCAGACGACACAGTCAAAAACGATAGTGGAAGTGAGTCTCCGGTGCTCAGTTGATTAACAGCCTTCGTCACTGCCTTATTGAGATGCCATCTTCAACACGCTCAGGCATCATTCATTCACTCACTAACTCACTCAGTGAGAGGCACTCCGATTCACTCACTGACAATTTCTAACGTTGATGATTTCATCGATTGATTCATTTCATCTATATGCAGCGAAGTTGTTTGTGTTTCTTGTGAGTGAGTGATTGACTAGTCCAGTATATTCTAAATGTGCATGAAGTTGCATCCGAAATTCCGCCTTCCGAATACCCACGATCCACAACACACGCATACACACCTCTACACACTGCATTTCACATTACTCAACCAACTCGATTTCATCTTATCACAAAGGCAATCGCCACTGAACTCTGTCTCCACAACAAGATTTCATCACATCCGTTTTAGTTCCAAAGCCTTTTTTTATCAATATCTTTTAATTTCTTTTATTTATATCTGTTGATTTTTTGGCTTTTATTACTTCTATTTTGCTTTAGTCACTTTACTTTCTTCTGTTTTGAAATTTTTTATTTCCTTTTCTGTTGATTTATTCTCATTTCCCCCCAGTAACCCATCCTACTTGACCTGTTTTAATCTTTTGTAAAGTTTCTCTTCCTTTTTTTTCACATTCTCAGCGAATATTTTTAATTTTTTCAACTTTTGCCTACTTGTCACTGAGAATTTTTTATCATTTTTACTATTTTACATTCAGCGCTCCCTGAATTTTTGTATATTTTTGAAGAAATTCTTTCGTTTTCACAATGTTTCAAGTAATGGTACTACGCTTGTTGACGGGAGATGTGACAACAATCTGTTTGGATTTCTGTGGATTCTTTTTAGTTTGAATGCTTTTTGTATCACTTCACTCATGGCCTTTGCATCTAAAGCGCTGTATACTTCGTTAAGTAATGTATCCCTACGTTACCACGATTGTCAACTTAAAATATGCTTGAAAGCATTTTGCGAATCGAGGACACTTGTGATTGGTTAGGACAATACGAATTAGCCACGTTTTTTTGAGTGGACTTTCAGTCAGTCCAGTGATTCATGCGAGCCAATACATTTGATGATCAGCATTTGTGCTGGTCCTTGTGAATTTTCCGCTTCATACTAACTTGTTGTTTTTCAGTCAGTGCAGCTTTCAGTTGTTTGTGATTGGTTTGCGTTTTCTTAACAGAAACCACTTGAATCTCATTTCTTTTCCATTTTATTTCAAGGTGCTGCTGAAAAGCCTTTCTATAAATGTAAGCGTTTACTACAGTTTGTTACGGTGATGTCCTCTCCCATACAATAGGCTTTTTATTGGTAGACTATTATTAGCTGTTAGAGATGGTTTTGTTGATTATCTCTTCTCTGCTTTACAAAAGGCATGTTCCATCCTCACTGGTGTAGTGGATTGTCAACTTCATTTCTCCTTATCGGATTTTCAATCTGCTGCCGCTTTTTCAGCAAGGTTTCTTCTGTCACGTATTTTTGTTTTCGATTACAGTGAACTGACACAACACTTTGTGATGGCTGCCTCACCTTTTACTTGCGAGTGTAATGTACCTTAGCTTACAAATAACCGGTGGAGTTTCTGCATTTATGTGAATACTCGTTGTAGAGACATTCTTATGTATACAACTGACTTTCCATTGTTAGTATGAAGACTCGATTTCCGTCGGCCTAGAGGATACTTTGTAAACATTGTAGCCCACTGAAAATCATTTACTCCGGACATCATCTTTCCACTGTAGAAGAATCAATACCACCATGATTATTTTCAGAGGTGTAGGCATCTCCTGACGAAATTGACTTAGGTAGATCAGTTTAACTTCAAGGCAGTAAAATGCATAGTGAGATGAGTGTAACTTCTGATTAAGGAGATGTTTTCTGTTAGTTTGTGGACTTCAGAAATAGTTCAATCCTCCAATTATCTGATTTTCATGTATTGGTTTTTCTGGGGATTTTGTTTGATTTGTTAGACGATTTCATCATGAGCTAACATCAGCTAGAGAACCATTGGAAAACCTGGGTGTGTTGGACAGTTGTTTTATCCATTTTTGAGACTTTTCATCAGTACGGACCCACCGACAGAGTTCGAACCCAGCACCTTCCGGTTACAAGGCTGGTGAGCTCGTAGAAGATGGAGCCACTGGACCTCGTTCTAAAGGCCCATGAATTATAACTTTTGCCATCTGTGTCACCACAACGTGTGCGTTGGTGGCACAGCAGATAGGACTCCCACCGACCGTGCACATGGTTGTGGGTTCAACGCACACCTGATATCTATGGTCGGCCTTCAAAATGTGGGCTACCGATATCAAATGCTGTACCAAAATACTGTGGAATCAAGCTGTAATAAAAAAATGTCTGCTTCGATGAGTTACTGCCTCATTTTCAACCTCCTGTAACCTACTGGTCACAGCTTTCCACTGGAACCACAGGTAACTGCCTGAATAGTGTAGTTAACTCACCAATTTTCTGATTTCTTATATCACGTCTTCAGCAAGAAGCAATCGTTCCTCATCCTGATTCATCATACCAAAGGATATAATTTTTGTGTGAATGTTTGACTTGGTAAATTATTTAGAGTTAATTATATAGCACGAGGGAAATCTTTTTCTATATTTTAGATGATAAGCAACATTCATTAATGAAATACGCAGATTCATATCGTGATGTTCTGAGTTATAAATGTATGTGTTTTATTCACCCAAAATTATTTTATGGTTGTCTCTTCTCCTTATACTCTTCTTTGACACTCCTCAGTGTTCACTTTCTCTTACTACTCTCACCGCTTGCCATGATTTGAAGATGGTTAATCAGTAAATCCAGTCACTGTAGATAGTGAGTAGCTATTAAAATCTCTTTTGCAAATGCACGTTTCCGTAGAAATTCGAGGATATATATTTCTCACATCAGAAGATGCATGTAATGTCACCTGAATGTAACAACTTGCAAATAATTATTGTGAAGTAGAGCGGGAAAATGGTAACTCTACGCAAGAGGTAGTGTCTCATCTATTTCAGGAAGCTTGGTAATCCTTAGGAGAACAATTTGTATACAGACGGCTGTTACAGACTGAGATGAGTTGAATAGCAGTATTGTAGGTGAGACTGAGAGGCCTAAACATTCAGTACTGGTTACCAGCAGATCATGCGAGAAATAGATACATTTACCTGGAGATGTGTCGGTAATGCACGGAATACAGTTACTACATGAATAATTAGTTACACACAGACAGTGAACCTGATTTCATGTTGCGTAAATGTCGACATTAGTTCTGTCAGAACCTTTAGTCAACAATTAAATAATCCACATACTTCACACATATTTGCACCCTTTTGTATGTTTTAGTTCTCATGGCTGAAATTCAAACATACGAAAATCCTCAGAATGGAGAAGAAACAATAAGACGTGGTGAGTAATTTTATCAAGATCTCTACATGGCCGCATGTAAATAAAAACCATAAATATATGGTGAAGCCTTTTTTCAATTAGTAGGTTTTGTTATTTCATGCAATTTGTAGCATTACTTATTCTTTTGAATTGAAAATGAACACTTGTGGTCCTTTTGAGGATGAATAAGTATCTCGTTTGTTTACAATCAAGTGACAAAGATGAAATTTTCCTCCTGGTCTATGTATGATAGCATCTGTGGTACCAGAACAACTTTGAATGATTCTAATGGTTGAAATAATGCCAGCACGAAACACTTTTCATCAAAAGAGACCTATTTACCTTCATACCTTTGCTGCTGCGTGAAATGTCATCCATGTCTGGTGATGTGAAGCACATCACGGAAATCAATGAACTCACTTGTGGGTGCAGTGGAAGATTCTTTGTTTGAACTGAATAATGGTGGGAGCTATTTGGGCTGGAAAAGTAGTCTGGGGTTCAGTGTTGTCTTCTGCTCTCTTAACCACTCTCAGCCTCTTTTCCAGATAACTATTATTGTTACCCTCCAGAGTTTCGACTTGAAAATAATACGGCAAAGTTAAACTTTCGACACCAGTAACAACCAATCAGCAAACGAGCTTGAATGGACCAATCACATTAAAGATGCGTTTATGATAAGTGGAAGCGTATATTTGTACAAAAATGCATAGAAAAAAGTATAAAACCGTTACATGGAGTATCTTTCTCGAACATGGGACAAAAACACCTCCCAATTCAACATGGGACTCTTAAAAGAAAAATCGCATCACATTCTGTGCATATGTTGCTGCTATATTTTGACTGAACTAGAGTACACGTATCTTCTAGTATTTCCTCGCGTTTACAATTGTGCCCTAACGTTGCGATTACTCGACATCCGCAACGTAATTCAAAAGGCACTTGCGAAGGAATACGATAGTGTATTATTGCAGCAATCAACAATTCAAAAGTCGAGCGAGTACAAAATGTATCAATTGTTAACATGCAAGATTTAGAGTAATAAATAAATGAAAGTACAATTACACAATGAAAGTATAGTACGATTATGAGTAATAAAATGGGTCACTACAATAGCTTCTCCGTAGAATGCAGGTAAATGAAGTTTACCTGTATTCGGAATGATATTGTAAATTATAATTACAGAAGAAATATATAGTAGTTTCTGGTATGAAAACCGAATTGAGGATTTTAAGTTTTTGAGGTTTGATAATATAACTGTATATATGCAAAAATGTTAACAACTTCGAAACGAACCAAAATGTTTAGAAAGTTGTGCAAAATGTAACAATAAAAGCAGAAAAATTATTAGAATAATAATGGGGTTGTTATTGTACGGAGTTACAGAATAGGTTTATATCTTAACATACAGTTAATAGTATAGTAATGAGGAAGTATGGAAATGACGGGTAAATATTCAGTTACCTCTATTTCCATGAAAGCTGGTTGTACAAGTGGAATTGTACAAGAAGAGATGGCTGTGTCAGAGAAGAGTGCAGCGGTAGCTGCTGCTGCTGATACGGTTGAAAGTGAACGTCCATCAGCATGTTGTTGTTGTTGCTGGGGTGTTGTTACTCGGCGTTGCGGAGTAACTTGAATTGATGTTTGCTGAGGTTGGAGAGTAGCAGTTGGTTGATTGATAGTGATTCCAACAGAAGCAGTTGGTATAAGCTGTGGTAAACCAGTGGTTTGAATCAGCTGACCGTTAGGACCAACAGTCATGACTTTTAATGGAGCTCCTGGTGCCAGAATGATAAACTGGAGAGTAGCATAGGAGCGTGCAGCTACAGTACCAGGTTGACCACTGACAGGGACGTCAGTTGCCATCATTGTTGGTTGTTGCTGATGTTGTTGGATATAAGTTGGCTGTTGAGCTGTTTGTAACTGATGAGCTTGTGCTTGAATCTGTTGTTGTTGAGGTGATTGGGTAAACTGTTGTAATTGAACAGCTGTGGGACCGGCTTGAGTAAATGTAGTTGCAGACCATTGTAAGAGTGTTTGCACACCTGTAGACAATGCTGAAGCTTGAGGACAGAGAACTGGAATTGAGGTGTTGCATAACAGCCAGCTTCTTGAGTATCAGGGTGAACTGGGATAGCAGTCGCTGTGCCGCCAGGTCCGGAGGTACATTTAGCAGAAATATCTGTAAATTTACATCCAAATGTTATGAAGTTATAAAAGTTAATGCTATGGCAAAGATGATTTATTCCACTGTGTATACTTCGAAATGATGTAGTCCATCAATCAGCTATGTCGGGCTCGCCAATTTGTTGCTGCTATATTTTGACTGAACTAGAGTACACGTATCTTCTAGTATTTCCTCGCGTTTACAATTGTGCCCTAACGTTGCGATTACTCGACATCCGCAACGTAATTCAAAAGGCACTTGCGAAGGAATACGATAGTGTATTATTGCAGCAATCAACAATTCAAAAGTCGAGCGAGTACAAAATGTATCAATTGTTAACATGCAAGATTTAGAGTAATAAATAAATGAAAGTACAATTACACAATGAAAGTATAGTACGATTATGAGTAATAAAACGGGTCACTAAACATATATTCGTCCAGATGACTAAAAATGACATCCTTTTGCGATCCATTTATAGCCCGGACCCTATTTTTCAATCTCCCCCAAGAACCATCAGTTGAATTCGTATGAGTCCCAGTAAGAGGATCCATGGAATCACTGGAGTGGTTCACACTGTGATGAATGTATCCCAGTGATGACAATGAATCATAGCCTTTTCCCTGCTCTCCATCTCGGCAGCAGCGGCTCTCACGAGCTGTTTCAGTACCCAGTAATTGCAAATGTACAAAATCTGGGTTAGGGAGAGATGCGACCTAGCAAAAAAGTTCCCACGAAATATAACCCTCCAATACTAACTCGCTTCCAGCATATTCCACAACGATGTAAAACACCATCAGTTGACCTAGTATAGCATTTTAGAGTCATTATATCACCACACGAACAACTTCTCTCCTTTAGAAGCAAGCCTAATTTCAGGCAATACTGAAAGACACTATCCTCCTCAAATTGCAAACGTAACCTTGTAAGGGCACGCATTGAAATGAATCAAGCGCTATACAACATTGAACCACGTTCGTGAATCTCATTGGATAACTCGACGTCATCGCTGATTGGTAGTTATTGGTGTCTAAAGTTTAACTTGGCCAATAATACCTCAACTGCACATCTCCATACTGTCTTTCTCTCTACAGTCCCTTGTCACTGCCTCAACCACTGCCAACTTACCTCCCATTCTCACCCACATAATCTCCACAATGTCACTGTCATATCACCGATCACCTCCACATTTCCCGTTTACATTCCTCTAAACGGAGTGGCATGTGATATCGTCAACGGTCTCCTCAACGCTTACACAATCCACATTCACTTCGATTTAAATTTATTTGAGCGGTAGGTTCATGATTGGTTTGTCGTAAGACTTCATTGTTTCTATTGTTTTCTGGCTTCCTTTCCTTTACTGCTAGAGCACTAAAGTCAAGTGTTGGCAAAAGTCTGCAGCTGACTGTTCTAAATCCTTTCGTAAACATGATAAGCCTGCGAATCATGAAGAAGTATTGTTTTAACGTCAGCATTGAGGATCCAGATTTTGTTCCTTATAATGAATGGAATAAACTCGCCTACTGATTTTAAAGCAGTGAAATTCTGCCCTGTTTTTACGACCTAAGCTGACTGAGTCATCCTCCCTCTTGCCGCCCCGTGTAGTTGAAACGATGCTGTCCAGATAAGTAAGAGAAATGACTTCCCTTGCACTTCTGCTAATGCTGTTAGTTGGTTGTGCGCATGACCTCTATTATATCTATGCTCACCTGAAGACGTGTCTCCATCGGTTTATTCTTCTGCCGACGTGTTTGTCTTCACCTCCATATCTTCGAGTTTATGTGATATTAGATATAAACCTTCGGCGAAGTTTAAACCTTCCTGAGTCTGTTTATTGCAGCAACGAATGACTATCCTGTTGTTGCTCAAGGACTTTTACACTATCCAGTCAACCACAACTGACAGTATCGTCAGCAATCAGCTTTACTTGGCTTTTCATTGGGCATCTCTTGACATTTGCTATCTTCAGTTAGGTGTTTGAAAAACTGCACTCCACAGTTTTATATGCTGTTATAGGTATTTTGAAAGCCGACGAAGTTCAGGTTGATATTTAATTTCAATCATGTGCTCTCTTCGATGATGAGGCAAAGCGTTGCAATTTGATCCATAAATGAATCACTTTTCCTGAATCAAGCTCGTTTCTCAGCAACATTCAGTCTCTTAAGGATGACACGAGAAAAGTTTTTTCTTAGATTGATAAGAAGCATGATTCTCATCCAGTACGTGCGGAGGCTTAAGTCACCTTTCTTTGATAGTTTGATAAGGTTTCCAATCCTTCTGATCAGCACGCAACCTCCTGGCACCAGTGGCATCAGTCCGATAACGAGATTCCAAAGGAGTTCCATCTGGTTCTGCTGCCTTTACGGTATCCGAAACGTCAGCCTTTGTTCGGGGATTAGTGCTCACCGCGAGATATGTGCCAACTGTTTATGGTATTTCTGCACGATTTTGCGAGTGATGGTCTATTTAGGAGTTTTCAACGTTGCTCTTGTTTTGTAAGCAATGTCCCTTCACTATGCCCATTGGTTTCATCTAAGCTCCTGACGTGTTAAACTGATGTAGTATTCTTAGATCTTCCTTCTATGTTACAAATTCTGATTCACGTGTCAATGTGTCGCGTCTGATCCTCTTCTTGATTTGATTTCCTTCATGAGGATTCGTCAAATTCCTGAGACTCAGATGAGGATTATCTGTAATTGGTGTGTTTAAGTAATGAAACCTGTATCATTTTGTGTGTTTTGTTGTTGCCTGAAGCCAACAACTTAGAAAGGATACAGTAGTATTTGAAGGGTCCATCATCCTCTTTTTTTTATCCACAACATCTCGACCTACGAAGAGTTGCCTTCCGTTCTTGTTTGCTTTCATTTTCGCATTCTGATGTTGCTATTTTGAGGCGGTGTACATTACTACTTTCAGTTGTCTGTTGATTTCTTCTCTCTCGTCTTGGTTCATGTTGTATGTAAGAGCACATCATTGAAATTCGGTTCGTTTTAAGTGTTTGTTGTGATCCTGTGAGTGGCTGAACCCTAATTTGAATCAAAAGTCAAGACGAGTAAACGATGTGGGTTATTGAAATAAAATGGGACATTGAAGCGTTGCCACCATCTGCAAATGTGAACAGTTATATCCAGAAAATGTTAAAACACAACGCATAATGAATTATGGTTACGAAAGCACAGTCGAAGTAAACTCACATGCGAAAATAAACACAATTACATGTTTTATGTTGAATGCAAACGTTTAAATAAGTGAAAGGAAAATGAATAAGCAAAGTAATAAAAGCATTTGTAGAACGACATTTGAGTTAATGAATCATAAGATGGATAGGCGTCGGTTTACAAGACTTCAGGTTCACTGTACTAAACCTCATCTATTCCAGCGTCTACTTCTTCGGTAACTTGAACATTAACCGGCCTTTCCGTGCTTGGCATAATCCCCGTGCACTGATCTCGTGTTTTTTACTTTAAATAGAAATCCTGAGACTTGAACACTTATATCAAAGTAAATGGGCGAAGGAATTTCTCGAACGTAAGTACTGTCATGAACGCACTCGATTCCATGATGTTCGGGAGTCGAACTGTGTGTTGATTAGAGGCATGCATTTTCACTGAAGTTAAATATGCTGGATTATGAATTGAAATGAATTGCAGTGTCATTGGAGATGACCAAAGAAATTCAACTTGTCCACAAAGAAATCATCAAAACTACTATTTAATAACGTGATCTCTAGGTGTCAGTAGCACTGAGAGTTCTCTCAGTAAGCATTCTGCAAAATTTTATTGACAAACTTCGAGTTTAGGAATGCATTTCATGTACACATTTTGCAAATTATTCCACTACGCATCTTTCCAATGCGCATAGCATTCAATAACGAAATTCAACATCAAATGTGACTATAACAGACCATATGCGGAGTGAATGCCATTGATTCACCCTTTGATATTCTTTTCAATGCTGAGACAATAAAGTCAGACAGATAACTTATGTAACGCCTCAAACAATTTGCCTTTGTGCACGTTTAATGTCTGGAAAATCTAATTCCACACCACGTTTTCTTATTGTACCCTTCTTACCATGTTTCAGAGTACAAGTAAATAATTTCTCACAATTATCTACACTTTCACAGTAGTCGGTGCAAAAGATTTGAAGCTGGTGAATTTTTCTACTAGTAAGTTATTTCACTCTAAAATAATAATAAACACAGTATATATGGCACAATAATTTGGTACCTACAGAGAATACTACCTCGTTACTGTTTGTTGAATGAACATGAGCTGAAAATCCTTTGGTCTGACAGATTTAACCAAAGATGTTCATATTGAATAATATTTGACATGGCTATCATGTGAAGCCGTTGTCAATAGGCTAAACTGATGCAGTTTAATCCATTTAATGAAACATTGTCTAATTGCTCTTCATTGCAACCACTACTGACGCCTCATTCAATAACGAAACATTTTCCTCCATCATCCACTTCCTCTACAATCTCTTCTTCAACATTAGCTTGTTCAACCCACACATGATACAATGAAACAGCAGCATCATTGATAACATTCCGAATATAATTTATGGTTCATTGATATCTCAAGTTGATTTATAAGACTTAGAAACTTTGATTATGTAATTCTATTTTATTTTCATCAAATGTCGAATGGTTGAATAAGTTCACAATTATTCAGTCCCGTTGTGAAATTATTACTATTATTCGTTTTCCACCTTCCTGTGTGAAACATCGAGATGCTCACTCGTAATGATTTTTTGAATGGTTCAGCCTAGAAGAATACCATGAGTGTCAGGAGCAGGGCCTTATCTTAACGCAGACTGATTCAGTGAACTTTCCGCTGTGAGGAATTTTTCATATGACATAATCATATGCTTATTGAATGACATGAGCGGGGGTGTGTGGCACTTAGCAGTGTTGGTGAAACAAGCAAGTTACTTCATGGTTGATCCTGTCGAAAGTATTCGTGAATTCGATAAGGATGCGGTAACCAGTTGACTCTCAGTCTATCCTATGTTTGAAGATGATTCACAGATGTGAAATTAAATTCATCCACGATTTGTTCTAATGAGAGAGGTGTACCTCACTGTTCTATCTAGAAATGAAGGTTTAATACGGTTCGAAATGTCATGTGTTTATAAATGAACTTAATTCCCACTTGCATACTATCACAGTGAACAAATATACAATGCAGATGCTCGGCTATTTGAGGAATTAAATATGTACCAAGCAATGCTTCTTTTCTCTATAGATGAATACAGGAAGGCGTTTGAAGAAGATATTGCTTTACAGCTCAACGTTTTTGGTATGAGTGATTTTTCTGAACTAAATTTGTAATTCCACTTAATCCTAAATTCATTGGTTCGTTGTGTCAGTGATCAGTGCTGTGAAAAATGTACACAACATTTTGGACTGGTGTTTTGTGCCAAGTTACCTATCCAATTTACTATGATACTTGCTTTTAAACCATATCAATCGCAATTCTCTACCAAAAATATTTTTGAGTAAAATTCCTTGAGGATAAATCTGGTAGCTGTTAGCACATTTGTTAAAACAGTAGATCGTTCTCTTATTCGTTTCCTATGGTTATTTATCACTAAGATCCACTGTTACCACAGATCACATTGCAGTGATGTTCAGAAGATCCCCGGGCTATCTGTCTATTGAGTGATGACATTGTCATTTCAAGTGATGCTAATTTTCATAGTTTGTATACATACAGTCATACTGCTTCCTACTCTTCCACAGAAAACTGACCACATTCACAAGACGTTATGCGTGTCTTAGGTGAATTCACTGACTGATATTTAATATTATGATGAAATTTGTTGGATGCCTTCAACTGGGTTATACTAAGATATCTAGATAAAGTACCTCTGTCGTCATGTTGGAAGAACATTTCACAGCTCAAATAATTATATTTTAAGAAGCTGCAGTGTATTAAATATACCTAATGAATTTTCATTTATGCCTTCAGCTCATGAGGGATTACACAATCTGGTGAAAAAGAGTATTTCAAAGAAATGGGAAAATCGAAAATATCTGGATATTGTAGAAGGTAAAATTTTTACTATTCCATTATTTAGAAAGACAGTAGGTTATTTGATTTTTTGTAAGAAAGTAAATATTCTTCTTCTGTAATTAGGCTTAGTTCGTAAAGCCACAGAAAACTTTTCATTCTTACACAAGATTCATCACAACACAACGGAAGGTTGATGTTTTCGCTTAAACATCACACTCTTGAGTGTGAAATCTGAATAAGCAAGAATGCAATTTTGATGCATCGCTTACTGACTGCCTTAAACTAAATCACACATAAATTGGTGACAGTGCAGAAGAAACCGACATTCTCTCAGTGTAGTTCACATTTAATTGGTTCCACTCTCTGATTTATCTTCACAATCATGTGCGCATTAAGGCATCTTCATTTTCTGCGATTTTCTCATCAGCACTGATATTCACAATTGATAGAGGATTATGAGAATATTTGTGCACTGACGCACTGTTCAAATAACTGAGAGTAATTCAGGGAATAGGCAGCAGTAAGCAGACACCAAACATTTATTCACTTAGTCATATTTTGTCATTAGAATCAGTCGATAACTGACTACTTGCGATCGATATGTGAGTGTAAGTACGCATACTAGATGGCCTGATAACATTTCCTAATAAAGCTTTATACCAAGTAAGCAAGTTAACTGTGATGGTGCCATTTAAATTGACGTCACCTGAAACCGTTTTCAAATAGATTGATTGATGTTGGGTTCATCATATACCTGGAGGATAAATGACCATGTGATTTTTCAATTGCAGCTTTATATTTTGCGGAGACATCAAGCAGTTTGAAGAGAAACGAAGGTTGGTTTTCTTTTCCTTTGAAATTCATCCTTCATAACTTGTAAACTGGGCTAAAACATCCCTCTTTATTTTGTGAATAGTTGCTTCTCTGATGCCATTAATATGCATATTCACACTTCCTCTGAAATATGGTGATATTTATTCGCAATAAACTATGTCTAAATATCTTTTCTGACAATCAGATTCAGAAGATAGCTGATTGCTCGACTCAATTGTCGAGTTGTTAAAACATGTAGAAAAGCTGTTTTCACACATGCGAACAGTCTCGCTGCCCAAATTCACTTAGCATCAGCGTATTTAGTACTGGTACATAACACATCTCCGTCACAATATCGAACTCTAGATAGTTGAATTCCTATCGGAACTAAATTCGCTTAAAGATAGTCTTGTTGAGAAATGTGTGGTGAAACCTCTGAAAATGATCACCTTTGCTCATATTTTATCACCAAAAAGTACAAAGTGTATTGAGTGCTTTCAATATTATTTAGAGTGAAACGTGCGTAAGTCAACATCCAGGCCTTACAAACTACAGTTAACTCAGAAATAATGAACAGAAATATATTCACGCAGTGAAGTATCAGTGTAAGGGTAGAAGACAAGGCATTTGTAAGGCAATCCTTATTGGGAATTCAGGAATCCTCAAATTACCAAATTATGTACACCTTATCTTCAAACTACTTTTTGCACAGAACTTCGGTGTTGTGCTATTTTTCTCCTTTATATTGCATTTCATCGTATTTGTATCGCATATGTCATTTTTTTTTATTTGACGTCAAATCCAGCTCTTTGCTAGTCAATGTGTTTATGCCGAAGAGCGTCTCTTTAAATTCTATTGATAAATCCTATCAGCCGCACAGGCCACTTCAGTCCATTACATGCAGACCCTCCTTAAAATGTAGCATGTGCTTATAAATACAACTACTCGAAATGTCATGTGGTTGGTTAGACAGCTATGTATTGCGGCAGTCAGCGCCTATCGTGCTAATAGGATTATTTCACGTTACGGAATACAAAAAACATTTCATACTTTTTGATATTGTGTAATTATAGTCCAAATTGGAATGATAGAGAAGGACTTGATGGAAGCGAAGAAAGAAATGGAAAAATTCAGAGGTAAAATGACTTTTGTAAATATGTATTGCACACTCCCTTCACGAATGATAAGCTGTTAGCAGGAAAATGCACTCATCATTGTGTTTATAGTTAGTCGTTAAGTGCCCTGATTACTCAACAATAACATACACAATAACTAGGTTGTATTAGATATCTTTTTCACCAGCAGTACAATAACTTCTCAGAATTATATGGAAAGTCAATTTTACCACCAAAGAGTCGAGAATATTTTCGTGGAGAGTTGAGTAGGCGTTTGAAAATTAAAATATTCAATGTGTTATAAGAAGAAAAATGTGTTGAGAAATTTTTAAATTATTATGAAACGACTTTTGGATCGTCTACATATATTGTATTCAGTATGGTGACAAATATGAAATTCAAGTTTCTTGACCAACGTTTAAAATATAATTCAACACTTCTTGTTTACTAAGCTGAACTTCAAGTGCTGGAAACAGCAGTAGTCGCCGCAACTAATGTATACAGAAATAAACCAAGTGAGTTAATATAATTATCAGTTTTATTAGTTTACTGTAAAGGACAATGAAGCTATGAACAGGCCTATACGATTCATCGCTGGATGAACGTGATGATGATTAAATATATTAAGTAGGCGTATTTAAATGACTGTCAACACGCATACGCCTAACAACAAAATTTACCTCAACTTTTCAATAATTTCCACTCCGCTTACAAATGACGTGAAACTAAGATTGACTTAAAATTTGCTTAGTATTGGAAAGTACACAGAAGAATAGGTGGAGCGTCTATCTTCTCAAAATATTTGTTTATCAGTTATTGGAAAGATGCCACTTACTGTAGAACTGGAATGGTTTACACTGTCGTAGAACAAAATTCGATAATAGATTAGTTCGTTAAATGTTGAACAAAGTGTCATGGTGTTCGAAACTAGGTGACTTCTCCGAGACAATTTATCTCTCATATAATACGATTGTATTATTATTACTTAGGTTATTTAGGAAGATGGAATAAGGAAATATCAACAAACGCTGAGCGAACAGTTTTACCTTTCTTAATATATTTCCAAGTTAAAATTGTATCTATCAATAAGCTCCGTGAGATACATCTTTGATTGATTGAAGATAATGAAATTTCCACAACAAGAAACTTAGGCGCTTCGCGTTTAACAGTGAATGAGATTATCAGAACTGCATCACGGTGAGTAACTCGATGCTATAAATGATGAAAATTTCGATCGTCTACAAGCCATCATCTAGTGAAGTATGAGCGGATATAAGCAAAATATTGCATGACATTTTGAAATGGCAGCGTTTCGTTCCTGAAGATTTCTAATTTAAAGATCATGTGAAGATGGGGACGACACACCAATTAGTCGATTAGTTTAAGTAGGAATTTACTCACTAATCGAAAATACAAGGAGCGCAAATTACTTACATATATCTCATTCCACATTGAGTTTTTTTTGAATGGATTATTTCCCTTCAATATTGTCAAGTATGCACGCGACTATGAATTAAATAACGAGTCAATATTCCTTTCAGGCTCATTTAATGATACTGAAATTACGGAAGCGTATTGGAAGGCTCGTACTGATTTAGCCGTCGCCATAAGTAATTTCATATAGTTATTTGATTTGACGACATTTGATATTTCATAGTTATAGTAATGAATGCACTTCTCAAGGAATTTCATTTTCGTTAAAGAGACACAAGTAATCTGTGTGGCTAATGACGTACACATTATCACGTTGTCGTATTCGCTTATACCACATACGGCTATATCATTGACAAAATTAGCAACATTACTTATTACACTAATATTGGAATCTGCAAATTGTTGGACAGTCGGTGAGAACTGGGTCTGAAATATCTATGTAAAACAGAGTCAAATCTACCGCCCATGTAGTGTTATTTTCATACTATCGAGACACGCAAACCTATTCCGATAAAGCTTCAGTAACCTAATCAGTGCATCATAGAATAAAGCCAGAAAAAGTGTATCATATATTTTGTGAAGTTCAGAATAACAGTTACATTGAAACTATACGACATGGTCGAACATATTGAGATTTGAGGTTTATTTCAAGTCAGCATGACATTGAAAATGCTACTCATACATGACTGACAATCTATTCGCTGTTTTAGGAGAACTAGTTAAAAAAATAGAACCATTGGAAATGAAGAGGATTGCATATTTGAAATGTAAGTTGAAATAGTGAAATGATTTACAACTGCCCAGTTGAAACCCCAGAAAACAGAATAAACTGGCTCCTGGCTGAAATGAAAGAAGATGCCAAGCAGTACTATTGAAGTAAGTTTTTGACTAACTGAACAATTGCATATGAACTTGAAGATGCGTTTCCCTGTTATCTGAAATCAGCTAGATGAATGCTTGTGGAATAATTAACACTGAAATTCTGTCCGCTCTCATTTTTTGTTGACTCATCAGTTTACAAGCACGTCATGAATCACCTACTGACTGACTAGTTACATGATCACAGTCCGCGGCTGTGCACAATATCGGGATTTTCCCAACTCTTAGGAACATCGTAAATTCAAATGTGTTTTGCATAGCTGATTTTTGTGAGGTGAAATGCAGCTCGAAATCAACTGGATAATGTACACAGCTATTCCGTGTTTCAATCTCCACTGGAAGTATTGCCTTTAGGAAAGTGTCATTGTCAGTTAAAAGAAAAATTGTCAACACTAATTTCTGCCATACTAGATACGTGTCTATTTTCAACACAGTTGTATTTTGCTTCCGTTTCAGCTTTGTTTCAGCTGCAGAAAAGTGAATTCGATTCCAAGGGAATTCAAGCAATATTGGTGAAGGGAATACATTGTTTGCATATCTCATTTTTGTTTAATTAGATATAACATTTTCCTTCTAAAGTCTTATTTCACTTGGTGTTTGTTGTCTTTCCAGTAGAACGAGATATATCAGAATGAAGTAAGTAAATGTAAAAAATAGGCTAACCACTACTGTACAACTCAAGGATTGTTGTTTTGACTGATGAAGTCTTTTGAGTAGCTTAGAGGAAGTGTCCATGAGGAGAAGTTTAATTATTTACCAAAGAATACAAAGCACGTTTACGCACGAAGAAATCCTTTCACCTCGGTATTTTCAAGTTATTCGATACTCACATTTACATGAAATACAATAGCAAAGCTGACTTTTGAAGACCTAGCCACTTGGAGATTGATGGCACATGGATTGGTTGTCTATAGGTTATTTCGTTAACCACAATCGAATTATGCGTCATTCAAATGCTGAAATTCATCATGTTATGAAGTTATATTATGGTCTGAGAATGACGGAATTCAAAGCTTCATTTACAATTCTATGTAAATAAGTCATCATTACGTTTTAAGAAATCTTATTTCCACAATAATAGAACTCCCTAATTATTGTAAAGTTTCCAAAATAACATTGACTATCAAAAAGGTATTTCCATTTCTCAGATGTTTTCAGCAAAACAAAGATTATCAGGAAAGCTGTGTATACTTAAATATAGTCGAATTAAAACATAGACAGTGAAATGCAGGCTCTGTTAACAATATACTTAATGATGTAAATATGTCATAGATTTGTCCATTATATCACAGCCGAATCGTTTAGATTTCGCCTTCTGCAAAAGCGATATAGGCACATGAATGCGTCGAAAGTATTTTCAATCGTCGAAAACGACTGTCGTCCCTGTTAGTCAAAATCTGCAAACACTTCAACACGATAATACTTGCAAAATCTGCTTTCACAGGGTAATCGTGCATTGGTAACCTTGACATCCCGGTGGATATATATGGCTCACAGTAAATATAAGTCAGGCAGTTTGGCAGTCAGCTAGTCAGTCCATAAATGAGAACCTATGGGCAGATAGGTTGACAAGATGGGTCGAGTTATGATTGTCGGTGCTGAATAAGGTAAGCATTGATTTCCATCAGTCAAGACTGTATCACGACTGACTATCCCATTATAGGAGAACTTTGTGTGTGTTGAAATCGAACACTGATACAGTATTGATTAATTAATTTCTTTGTGCTTGTAACACCAAATATATCCCTTCCTTGTATGATGGAATTCAACTGAACCGCACCACAGTGTATACATATGCTCTGCTCTCCTCGAATGTACTATGACTTTCTGGTGATTACTGTAATTTGGGACTTCAGTGGATTTTGATACTTCACTGTCACCTTTTGTTGCCAAAGTGGTGGTTGTTGTCGATAAAATGAGAAGCTTAGCTAACCGGAGAATCGCCGAATTCACAGGTAACGAGTAGATGAAACATGATGAATGAGTACGGATCTCAGTCTCAGTGAGGATGCAAGTTCGTCAGCTTTCTGATGGATGCACGAATGGTTGGATGAATATTAATTCAGGGTCGCCTCGACACCTCAAGACCCTGTGGTTGGAGTCCGGTGGCCTTAAGATGCGTTTTTCTGAAGAGCCTTGGACAAGAGCGGAATAGCAATCCAGTAGTCCGTTGTTTAAAATGGTACTTTAAGTGATATCAGTCCGTATTCAAAACTGAAATCTATCCAGCCACTTGCAAACTTACAATCTGAAAAAATAATTCCACTAATTTTTTCAATATTTTAATGCATTTTCATGATAACAAATAGAGTGAGATGAGGCATCTAATATAAGGTATATTATTGCTCAATAATAATTCGAGCATTGTGTTTGTGGCTAGGAATGCTCATACTAGTCACATGAGTATAGTCCCAGCAGGAAGCATTACGTAACTACTGCTCGGTAATAGATTATCAGAATCTCGATAGAAAAGCAGAAGTATACTCAGTATGCGTTTAGGTTTAAATTCATTGTGATATTTAAAATAAACGCATCATATTCATAAAAGAGTAGATATGCCTTGTACATTAATTTACACTGTTATCACTGCATGGAACACAAGGTTTTTTGTCAAAATGCGGTAGCGGAGAAACCTGCAAATGGTAGATTTAACTATCATTTACCTTAACGACGTTGAATGGACATTTCCCTTCATCTTAAACAGGATTTACGATTAAACCTTGGTGAAGCTATTAGCATTAAATAGCGAAGCGTCAGTAAAATCAATATCGTTTTGTTTTTCATTCATTGTGAAATACAAAAACCTTTATTATAATCAGGATTTACGATTGCATAAATTCAAACATACCAGGCGTTACTGGTTAGATTTCATGAATCCGTTCGAAAACGTTAACTCAAAAGAATTTTCAATGATGATGTCCACCTGAAGCATGTTTTCAGGTCTTGGCATTTGCTTTCCAGTCATTCTCGAGTTCTGAAATAATATGACATAATACGTTGACCTTTATAGAAACTGTCAAAGCATCAGAATGAGATGACGTGAAATACTAATATCACTATAATACAGAAAATCAATCCCTGAAACTTTGTTCGCAATATTTACATAGTGGAAAAATAAGCGACATTTTAATTCACAAATTCACCCATTTCGTTCAAAATACTCTGCTTCACCCATCAAATACTGACGAATGCATGTTTCTGAAGCATAATCTATTTGGCTGACACCATGCAGCTCGTCAGACAGTTGAACATTTCCAGACAGGAATTCAGTTATATGAAAGAAGCTATGAGGAAACATTTGTACAGAATTAAATGTGAGGACATGAGGGTAAGGCTGAAGTCACAAGTTGGTGTGACATTATTAGGGATTAAATGCATCAAGGTGGAACATTAGTAAGAATGTTTGAAAAAGTACACAGAATTAATCGAACAATTGAACCTAAGCTATGCATTCAAAATAATTTCGTACAGCCATTATCCCTATCTTGGCCTAATAAGACAAAACCGGCTGATGACTTCTACATCACTTCTTACTTATATTTTCAATCCCACTCTCATCATCTATTATTTTTATCACATCTTCATTAAAAACGTGTTTCATTTAATTCCTTTACACGCTACCATTACTTTGTCAGTTCATTTGTTTTTTCTTAGCCTTTATCGACTACTTCTACTTGAACATTTGTTTGTTTAATCATGCTGTTTTTCGTTATTTGTGTTATTACAAATTGCCTCACTTTTTCGTCCTTATTACTGATAAAACAATTATTATTATTATCATTACTACTATTATGACCAAATGCAAAATTTATATTCACCGTCTTATCATCCTATAGACAAAACACTATGATTGGTTTTTATTTGAATTATTATTTGTGAAGTTATGTATATTAGAGTTAAGCGTGATGAGATTTAATTGAGACCTCAAATTGTTCGCTGAAACGTGTTGTTTTTTTTTCATTTCACTGCGAGGATATTTAATATAAAGAAGAAATCACCAAAACTTTGCATGAGACCAACAATTTTAATATAACTAGTAAAATGTAGCAAACTTCTGCATAATTTCAGAGGTAAAAATAGGGGCCACTGAGCCAGCTGGAACAGAAAAATCCCGAAGAATTATAAACTGGTCCAATCTATTATGTTGAAGAATTTAAAAGTAAGCTGGACTATAACACTTCAAGTAACCCAACAAAATTACCCAACAACAAGCTGACAGGCTAATATCGTCGATTTGTTAGACAGATTTTTAACGATAGTCAGATTAATAGATATAAAAAATATCATTAGAAGTTGGCATATTCAACACTTTTTAAATGAACATGAAACTGTTTACAGTCCCGTAGAGAAATATCAGAGGAGATAAAGAATCGTATGAAACCAACATTTCAGATTAACAATTGGTATGAATATGAACAAAACAGTGTTTTTGCTAACATTAAGAATAACTGTTGCTATAACACAGTCTGATCTGAAGAAATATTGAACCAAAGTAATATAAAAATGTGAAACCCTTTACACATTACATAGTCAGCGAGGCCAATGTTCATACAATGGGAAGAGTATTTACTATATGGGAGAAACATATGCGTTCTAAAATATTTTGGAAAACAGGAATTCGTTAAGGGAAGAAAACAGTTGATTTGCACTGAGATGTTTCCTCCACGACAATACAACTTCAATGTGTAGTAAAGCTTAAACGACGGAAAGGGGTAAATGTCATTTAATCATAAGAGGAATAAAAATCACTCCTTATGATTGAAAGCACAAACTGAACGCGGAGAACTATAAATTGAATAGGAAATTTTTCCGGGATTTTATCAGAATTTGCACAATAAAATCAATTTTCAAAAGTTATTGCATTTCAAAGTTATTGATTCATCCACGTTCAGCGTGTCAGTA